AACTCTTTGGTTGTGAAAACAAAATTTTTTTTAAAAAAAGGATGTATTTATTATTTGAAATTCAGAGTTGTGGGCAGGATGGGGGGATCTTCCATCTGCCAGTTCACTCTCCAATTGACCCTGACAGCCAGGGCTGGGCCAGGCAGAAGCTAGAAGCCAGGAGCTTCTTCCTGGTCTCCCACATGGAAGTCAGGGTCCAAACACTTGGGCCATCTTCTGCTTTTCTCAGATAGGGAACTGTATTGGAAGCAGAGCAGCCGGGACTTGAACCAGCACCCATATAGGATGCTGGCACTGCAAGTCGCAGTTTTACCCGCTGTGTCATAATGCCGGTCATAAGAAGTGGAATTTTTAATTTTTGTTCTTGTTGTGAGCAAAGAACCATTTATATTTCCTTTCATGTGAGTTCTTTGCTCCTAGCCTTTGTCCATTTTTCCATTGGACTTTTGATTTTTCCCTCATTGACTTCTAATAAGATGGTTATCTCTGTGAAATGTTCACCAGGTTCTTTTAATGATTTATTTATTTAAAAGGCAGAGCAAGGGAGAGAGAGAGAGAGAGAGAGAAATTAATCTATTTTGTGGTTCAATCCCCAAATGACCACAATGGCTGGGGCTAGGCTATACAGAAGCCAGGAACCAGAAACCCCATCCGGGTCTCCCATGTGGGTGGCAAGGGCCCAAGAACTTGGGCCAGTATCTGCTGCCTTCCCAGGCGCATTAGCAGGGAGCTGGATTGGAAGTGGAGCAGCCGGGACTAGAACCAGCACTCTGAGATGGGATGCCTGTGTGCCAAGCAGCAGCTTAACCTGCTGTACCAGAATGCCGGCCCACCATGTTTTTCTTGTGCACAATTTTTTATTTTTTTTCCTATTGAGTGTGTCAATATTTTCTATTATGGTTTCTGTATTTTGCATAAGCCTTCCACTCAAAGAGATATAAAAGAAAATCTTTCCCAGCTTTCTGTTTGTACTTTTATGATTCCATCAGAAATTCAATATGCATATAAGACAGGAGACAGGAACCTGACAGATATTTAGCTGCGTGCTCCCTCACGCACATGCCACTTACGTCCTGGCTAGCTTTCTCTACTGATAGGCAGTACCACATGTATCACGTAGATCACTCGTGTGCGTGCGTGTGTGTGTGTGTGTGTGTGTGTGACTGAGTGAAACTGATCTCAATTTGCTGTTAAATATAGTAGTTTGTTTGGTGCCCTTTCCCCTATTAGAACATAAACCCACCAGGGTAGAAAGCAGCCAGCTGATCTACTGTTCTGCTTTTCATTGTTTCAGTCTGTGCAAGCCCAGGTGTGTCCGTGGGCACGTGTGTGTGTGTGTGGGGGGGATGAGCCATCAGTGGTGAGATGGGTGAGTAAGGAGAAGCGGGTGCTGCATGATTCAGAGGATCCCGTTCTGTAGATCTGCATCCAATGGCAGAGTGAGCGTGTGGGAGGCGCTGGCTGTGGTGGTGAGAGTTTGGGGCTGGGTCGGGGACAATGGGGAAGTCGCGAGGACAGCAAGAGCTAGCCTCCGGGCAGCGCTGGCCCTGGTTACTTCCAGATGACCGTGGAGGGTGCCAAATGTTCCATTTTCACATTAGCTGAGCTCTGAGGTCAGGGATTTGGCTTAGCAAAATGAGGCCGTACTGAACAGAATGTGAGGGAACAATCTCTGTTATTAAAAACAGGGCAAAATTGGTACCTGGAACTGAAAAGGGGATTAAATGGAATGACACAAAGCTAAATAATTATTATTACGTGAACACACTGAAGCAGTACTGCTCAGTACATTGCACTGTGCTAAAACAGTGAGGGAAAATGAGAACGGTTATATTTAAAATTAGACTTTGGAGTTAAAGTCACTCATTTCAGGCATCTAAATATTGCCCTTCTGAATAGTTTGACAGGTCTCTGTTTCCATCAGAAATGGTGGAAATGAGGATCCACACACATGCGTTTCATTCGCACATTAGCAGTGAGCGCACACTGATTAGGAAGGGAGAGTGTGTTTCTGAAAAGAAGTCAGGGGGCTGGTGCTGTGGTGTAGCAGGTAAAGCCGCCACCTGCAGTGCCAGCATCCCATATGGGTGCCAGTTCTAGTTCCAGCTGCTCCACTTCTGATCCAGCTCTCTGCTATGGCCTGGGAAAGCAGCAGAAGATGGCCCAAGTCCTTGGGCCCCTGTACCTGCGTGGGAGACCTGGAAGAAGCTCCTGGCTCCTGGCTTCCGATTGGTGCAGTTCCAGCCATTGTGGCAAACTGGGGGGTGAACCAGCGGATGGAAGACCTCTCTCTCTCTCTCTTTCTGTGCCTCTCCTTCTCTCTGTGTGTAACTCTGACTTTCAAATAAATAAATAAAATCTTTAAAAAAATAATAAGTCGGGTTGGAGGATGTTTTTGGGGATTCTGAAGGTTCGCAAGGTTGGGACTTGTGTTGGGTACAAGAGCTCTGAGATGTTTCTGGAACTTGTCCCATTTGCAAAGTTTCAGGATGAAGGGTTGAGGCCCCAAATGTCCCCGGCGACTCTTGCCTGCCTCTCTGTGGGATGGCTTCCTACACAGACCGGCTTATTGCTGGCAGGGCCTGGTGACCCCTTCTTATGTTGATGTGTGGTCTCCAGCACCCTTCTCCGGGAGCAGCACCTGTAGGCCAGAGCTGCTGCCAAGCCTCGTGGCCTGACCAGGCTGAACACCGGCGGCATGGTGTGTGTGCCTTGGATAAGCACTGGTCGACAGGGAGTGTGCTTCCTCTGATGTGCCCTGCTGGTGGATGGGGGAGGAACGCCCCAGGGGAGACGTTCTGCCATCCAGTACCTCCCAGGCTCCTCCTGGCCCCCTCGGAGGCTTAGCTGCTGTGCCGAGCTAAATATATCACTTAATATACTGAGCACGGTGCAGACATCCATCGGACTGTTCTTTTTTTAATTAAATGGATGAAATATAGATGCTGGGGTTTATGTAATTCTGTAAAGAGATGACTTGACCTTCTGCAGTATGGAATTTTCTTTTAGAAAGTACTTGGGATGATACGTGATTGATCATTTTGAAAGAACCACAGTTAGAATATTATAATAAAATAAATAGGAGAATCAGAAACCTCAGAAACATTTCTTTCTCATTTCACTTTCTTCAAGTCACGATGAATCATAGTTTTCAGTGTTTCTGGCATCTGAACTTTTAGAAAAATACTTCCTCCCTCACTCTCTACAATGAATTGAATGGTAAATGTACGCTTGTCTCAACCGTCTCTTGCCTAATCTGACAGTGACATATTTCTCTTAAAAGCACTGCATTGTGACGGTGATGATTTTCCATCGAGATGCTGGGAGTTGGTTTTGAGCTGTATTCAGTGTAGGACATTTGGAGAACGTTTCTGAGGACCCGTTATCTTCTTTCTCCTGCAGTGTGTCTCAAATCCCTGTTTGTCTTTCTCTGTGTTCTTGTGGTATCTTCCCCCTTCTCCACGTGGGGGTTGATTCTCCCAGCTCGGTTCTGGGCCCCTGACATGGAGCCCGCCTTCACCCCATCTCCCCGCCCTGCCTCGCTTTGAGTCCCAAAGCAGAGCTGTTTACTTTTAAGCATCCCCTTCCTTGTCAGCCACCCGCAGTTGGACCTCAGCAGCCTCCTGTTGCCTCCTCGCCTTCCTGGGCCCTCCTGGCCCTGTGGGGTCAGACGCCGGTGTGAGGGCTCTGCGCTGCTGCCCCGTCCCTTGACACTAGGGGCGCTGCCCTGGGGTGTGGCAGCAGCCTACCTAACCTGCCCTGTACACAGCCTCCTTCTGGCTCACTTAGGTTTTCAGCTCAAGTTCTTCCCCTTCCAACCTCCCCGGATTTTATAATACAGATGCTCCTTACTTACCATGGCGTCCTGCCCTGCTAAGCCATCACTCCATTCAAAGCCGAAACTGCTGTGAGTGGAAAACGCATAGAATTCCTCGAGGCTCCTGCATCTCCTAGTTAGCCTCAACTCCTGATACATGCTCAGGACACTGACTCACTCTGCAGGTGGACATTGCCAGAGAGGGTGTGGCTGCAGGGCGCTAGCCCTGGGAAAGATCAAAGTTCAAAACACAAAGTATGGTTTGGTTTCTACTCAGTGTGTGCTGGCTCTCGGCTCTCACTCCATTGAAAAGTCAAGGACTTTAACTTGCACCTTGTTAAGCTGGGGACCATGTCTGTTTATAGCTGTGAACACTGGGAGTAACATCTAGAGGACCATACTTCTTTTATTTACAACCTACACAAAGGTTGTGATCTGTAGATGTGTGTTTTTTTTTTTTGGGGGGGGGGTGGTTCCTAAGCCCACACTGTAGCAATGAAGACAATGCCAGGAAGAATACATTGAGGGTGTTGCCTTTAAAACATAGAGTCTTGGCCGGCGCCGCGGCTCAATAGGCTAATCCTCCGCCTTGCGGCACCGGCACACCAGGTTCTAGTCCTGGTCGGGGCGCCGGATTCTGTCCTGGTTGCCCCTCTTCTAGGCCAGCTCTCTGCTGTGGCCAGGGAGTGCAGTGGAGGATGGCCCAAGTGCTTGGGCCCTGCACCCCATGGGAGACCAGGAGAAGCACCTGGCTCCTGCCTTCAGATCAGCGCGGTGCGCCGGCTGCGGCGGCCGTTGGAGGGTGAACCAACGGCAAAAAGAAGACCTTTCTCTCTGTCTCTCTCTCTCATTGTCCACTCTGCCTGTCAAAAAAAAAAAAAAAAAACAAAACAAAACAAAAAAAAAAACACCATAGACTCTTTGCGACATTGATACAAATTACACTACTGGCACAAAACAGCACCCAGAAAGAGCCGGAATGTTGCCAGTTAGGGTGGCTCTTGCTTGTGCTCTGTGAGGGCTTGCTTCTGAGAGAAGTGGGAGACTCTCTGAATGGGCAGGGCTGTTGTCTGTGCTGGACTAAGCAGGTGGTTATTTCCTCTGGGTGTGCCAGTGGCGAGTGTCTGGGCCACACCATCCCTGCCCACACGTGATAAACACATCTCTCTCCCTGTCCTCCCAGGGAAGCCATCAGCCGTGTCTGTGAAGCTGTGCCTGGTGCCAAAGGAGCCTTCAGGAAGAGAAAGGTACTGGCGTGGGGGCTCAGCACCTGCCATGTCTCCCCCGTGACGTTCCCCTCGTGTCACCACTCAACATCTTCAACCACAAAATTGTTCGCCATCCTCTTTGGGTGGCCTGGCTCTTGGCACCTCTAAAAGCAGTAAGAGCTGAGATAACTCTCCTGCACAGTGGGGTAGGGGGGCCAGTTGGCTGTCACACACAGGTCGGGCACCCTGCTTACTTCCTGTGGCTTAGATCTTGAAGATCTTGAAGTTTGTGGCAGTAGCCACAACGTGGAGGACAAACACAACAGGCTCAGGCATTCCTCAGAGCCCCACATTCATGCACTTAATCATGGCAGTTCTTGGTAGTAGACACCCTAAGATCTGGTTAACAGCTGGCTCTAGGGGTTGACAATTTATAATGCTAGATTTGTAGCATTTACCAATTTCTCTGATGGCGATACTTTCCCTGGGATTTCAGGCTCTCACGGTGACATTCCTAGTTGGGTCCCCCTAGCTGTACCATTTCCGAAGACACTAATCACCTGAAAAGCACAGTGAATAGTTAATGCAGCAAAACGCTTAGGACATAATGAATGTTCAGTATTTATCTCTGTCTGTTAGATGCAATTTGGTTAATTGTGAGTTTGCATAAATTAATTTTTAATAACAGCTGTGTTTAATAGCCAGCTCATAAAATTCCTACAAATTTAATAATTGGCTCTCATTAGCTGGTACAAGCCACCACTGGAAATCCCCATGGTACCGGCAATAAAAATTGAAGTGCAAAGCAGAGAAGCTGTGATGGGGTGGGGTAGGGGGTGCTGAGATCAAGCCCAGCCCACCTGCTCCATTGGCTGCGCGCTCATCCTGGAGATGGCTGGACCAGAAGAAAACAATATATGGATTAAGAGGAAGTACCAAAAAAAAATCTCTTAGTTAAATGTTGAATAAATACAGAACTAAACCCACTCACCTAGACCTTTCTATGCCTTGACTGAGTGGCAGGGAGAGTGGCCCTTAGAAATCTCTGAGTCTGCACATGGGTGTCTGTCCTTGACTCTGCATCATTTGGGGGTGTCCTCCCTGGCTCTGCTGTGTCCAGAATTCTGGGCTGCTTCTGTCTTCAGAGCCTGGGGACAATTCGTGCATGGCCGAGGGGTTTCAGGCAGAGAGCGCTGGGCAAGCCTGAGCTGAGCCAGCCTGTGTTCTGCGCACCCCTGGGGGATATGGGACACCAAGTAAGCTGCAGAGCCCTGAATACAGCGACCCTGAAGGCATCTGGGAACAGAGATAAGGAGCCTTGTCTGTCAGAGCAGGTGGTGCTGGCAAGTCTTGGGGCGTCCCCCTGGTTCTCTTGGTGAGAGTGGTAGAAACAGTGCTGAACCTCCCAGGAAGGGCCTGGGCACTTCTATTTTCAAACAGCTCCTTTAAGAGAGTTAAAAAGCAGTGTATGCCCGGTTAGGGGAAAGCATCCTAATCCAAGAGGAAAGGGTGTTGTGTCCCAAAGGACAGAGGGAGGCGTGTCAGTGGAGCCCGCTCAGGTGCCCGGGAGACGGCGCCTGGCTGGGAACCGCAGCCTGCCGGTGCCTGGGACAAGGACCCTCCTGGCATGGTGGTGCAGACATCAGCTGGAGCCGCTGTGTCTGCCCGTCCTGTGTGCCAAGCCCAGCAGATTTAGGTCAGACGTTAGGGACCCTTCCCTTCAGCAGTGGGTGTGACCCGTGGGGTCGCCCCATCCTCTCCACCAAGTGGTCCGCTTTCGTATCCCCTCAGAGCTGGTGTCACTCTCAGGGTCACGGAGCCAGGCTGGCTGGCCCTGGCCTGTGGCACCTTCCCCCCGGTTCACCTACTGGGGACCCTCAAGAGAGGCCCTGCTGTGGCCCAAGACCCAGCCTTTGCAATTTGCATATCACCTGTTCTGGCCTGTGCAGGTTGGCACAGGCTCTCAGTGTTCCAGCTCACCCTTTGTGCTTCCTGGGCTGCGGGAGGGAGGAGTGGGCAGTGGGAGTGCAAGGCCTGGCAGACACCCCTGGCCCCACCCTCGTAGCCCGGAACAGCTCAGAGGCCTCCAGTACATAACAGATTCCATGAATGCTCTTTCGTTCTGCAGCCGCCCAGCAAAATGCTGTCCAGCATCCTGGGGAAGAGCAACCTCCAGTTCGCGGGGATGAGCATCTCTCTGACCGTCTCTACCGCCAGCCTCAACCTGAGGACGCCCGACTCCAAACAGGTGCGAGGGTGCCTGCAGCCCCGGTGGCAGGTGTCCTGCAGGCTGCTTGCAGCTTTGTGAGCCCACAGGGAATATGCTTGCTTCGAATCTCTGTTCTGTGAGCTTGGATCGGCCACCTTGAAGGATCCCCGCGGAATGATGGATGACCACAGTTCCTTTCAATTCTACTGTGCATTCCCCCCTCCTTTTTGGGGGGGAGAATAATGTATGAAATCATCAGCTTATTTATACCACGTAAAAAATGTGATGCATGAATTCAAGCAAAACTCTCTTTCTAGTGCCCTAGTTCCTATTTTTTCTTCTTTTGTATCATTTTCCCCCATTAGTTTTATAGACTGCATTTAATTTTGTCCCCTGTGACATGGGTGGCTTATCATGACCTAATTGACAGCAGATTTCTCTTCCCCTGGTGGTTCACGATGTGGGGGCATCTTCACAGAACTGTAGATGGGTGGGATGCGGCGTATCTCAGAGCTGCCCGAGGAGGCCCAGCCCTGACGTTCATTGAGGAGAGTTCTGTTTGGGGAGGGAGGTGGTTCCTGTGCAGTGTCTGTCTTTCAGGTTTCTCTGATCTATGTATCATTAGCTCCTGCAGCTGGAAGAATGAGTCTGTGAGTAGCTGTTCTGAAGGTCGAATCGGGCAGAGGCAGGAAAATGCCTGTGCCATGTGAAGGTGGGGGTTGGTGCGTGGATGCCTCCCAGGCCCTGTCCAGACCTTCGCACAACACACTCCTGCCCTGGGTTACCTTCTGCTGCTGGCGTATTCCTGTCTGTGGAGGCCACATGCCCAGGCCAGCTGGTAGACCTCCCAGCTGCACTTATTCCTCTCCCTGCCACTCAAGACACTGAGATTCACTCTAGATCTGGTGTAGAACGCTGAGGCAAAGCTCAGGCTTTGTTTGGATGAAACTGGACACCACTTCTCCCTGGATCCTTCCATCTCCTGGGTGTCCCCGTGTTAACTCTTCTCACTGCTGGACAGGCCCAGCCTTGCACTTGCTGCTCGTGGGTGCTGCTCCTCTTGGCTCTGCACCCGCACTTATGCCCACATCCATTCTTTTTCTGGACAGCTGTGGGTCTTTTGCTTCTAGGAGCCCTCAGATCTGCAGGGTCTTGTTTCCAAATTCCTCCACTCTCTCCTCTTTCCTACGTCAGTAAAAGAGAAACGAGCTCCCAGAAGGGGCAGTGAGGGTGAGCCCCTGTAGTGGGTGCTACTGCATCCTACAGGGGCTGGTGTGTGTGTCCAGTTGGCACTTTCTGGTTTGGGGGCAAGGGACTGAGCTCTAGGCTCCAGATGTCCAGCTTGGAAGACAAGGGCACAGTCTGCAGCAGGCGGACCCAAAGCTCCCGTTGCTCTAGTGCTCCCTCCTGACTCCACAGAGCACATGGCGAGAGCAGAGACAGCGCCCACCCACGCCACGGAGGTCCAAGTGGAAGAAGCGAAATGAAACCCATGCTGTAGATGACAGAGGCCATTAGCTTGAATTTCCTGGCCTGCTTTTGGCTTCCATCTTAGTCAAAGGGATTACATACAATCACACAGTAATGGTCACGTGTTGTTGTGTCAGCCAAATGCCAGGGGACTTTAAAATTTTGGTGAAAAAGATGAAAGGAATTTTTTGTTCGAAAATGTGCTATTATGAAAAAAGCATGCATGGATTTCCGAATTTTTGGCACCAAAATAAACTTGTATATATTTCTTGATTTTATAGCTACTTGATAAACAGAGAGAGGAGAGAGAGAGAGAGAGAAGGAGAGGGAGAGAGAGTTCTCCTCTCCACTGGTTCACTCCTCAAATGCTCACAGCAACTGGGGCTGGGCCAGGCCAAAACTGGGAGCCAGACCCTTAGTGTGAATCTAATATGTGCATGGGCAGGCCCGAGTACTCAAGCCAGCACCAACACTGCCTCCCAAGATCTCCATAACAGGAAGCCGAAAGCAGGAGCCGGTGCTGGGCACCCAGCCCAGGCAGTCTCCTGTGTGACGTGGTGCTGGCATCCTAACTGCTATGCTGAATGCCTGCTCCCCAGGCTTACCTTTGGGTCCATTTCCCGTGAACTTTCTGCAGTGCCCTCATGTGACCTCCACTTACTTATTTCCCAAATCACAGCTTCCAGTTAAATTTCCAAACTCCAGTTTCAGAGCTGCCTTATTAGATGAACATTAAAAAAACAACTTTGGAAGCCATCATTGATCATTATTTGGGAATTGCTTTCTTCCCTTGTTTTCCCAGGAGCTCTCTGCCCTGGCCTGGAGGCAAGACTTCAGACAGCTGCGGGGTAACTAGGATCAGTTGGATTCAGCTGGGGCTGGGGCTGGGGCGCACACAGGCCACCCCGCCGGCCTCAGTGTCACACATTTACTTGCATACTCAGACTTTTCTGGACTCTGAAGGTTCGCAAGTGCCAACAACCAAAGCAGGCACTTCAAAATATCTTATAATTCAATTGTATTTGATTTCAAGTCTTGCAGGAGCTTGTTTAGAAAAATCCCCTGGCTGGCATGATGATAGTGAATTCTGCCTGCCTGAAGACAAGAGTCTAAGGGGATTATGCAGAAATAGACCTGGTTACATTAGGATATAGACGAGAGTTCTGCTCCTACCCCGTGAAATTTTCTTCAATGTCACTGCATTGTCTTTAAAAAGATAAAAATAGCATGGAAGACTTATGCAGCTTTTTAAATTTAGGGCAGCATTTAATTTACTCAGTGTCTACTAAATTCCTCTGTCCATCGCAGTTTATAAAGCTAATGGAAATTTCCCATTTTGAAATTAACTTGGAATGCCCTCTCTGGTTTTCGAATGGATAAATGACAAGAGTGTTTTAGATGGCACCGGCTTTGAATCGTGGGTGCCAGCTTTGTAATACATATGCACAAAGGGGATGGAGGGAGAAGGGCTGGACCACGCTCCCCACTCCCCCCGCCCAACCCCATCCTAGCTGCAGGATCTGTGTCGAGGCCCCAGTGTGATTTAGGAAATAGAAAGGACACATTGAAATGTTTTTGCGTGTGGCTGTGATGTTTTGCTGGTGGAAGAGGGGTAGGTGTTAGGAGCTGGGCCTGGTCTTGGTGCCCCCGCGTCCTAGCACAGCCCTGCTGATCACCCGCCAGTTAAGGGAGCCTCGGAGCCCCTTTGGCTTCAGGCTCCCACCTGTAAAACGGGCTTAGGCTAGTTCCTGCATCGCAGCAGCTGGTAATCTTAAATGAGCTCCCCCTGCCCAAGCTTGCAGCGGGGTGGCGGCTGTCAGGTGCGACCCCTTCTCACAAGCCATCCACTGTAGTTCCTTTTATGACTGCTGTTGTCACCAGCCTGCTGGAAAACCCGTCGGTTCTGATGGCCTGGTAACCGACAGCAACAGCTGCACAGGGTGATAACCGCACATTTGTTTCTCGTTTTGGGCAGATTATCGCGAATCATCACATGCAGTCCATCTCCTTCGCCTCGGGGGGAGACCCGGTAAGTGCTCTTGGACTCTCTTACTCTCCCCAGGAGTTTCTGAGAGGGGACCCCTGGCTTCCAAAGGGTGCTCCTCACAGCCAGCTGCGGCCACGTGTTCCCGGCCTGACTCCGAAGCTCTTTCTGGCTCTCATTTTTTGAGATGGGGGAGGGGAATGCACATGACCAGGACCAAACTTATGCCTCATTTCATTAACTGTGGGCTGTCAGAAATCCTGGGGGGCACTGACAGAATAGCAAGGTGGCCCCCCATTCTCAGGACTGCCGGGGTCTTCTCACCAGACACTCGGGGCTGGCCCTCCTCGGTGTTTTTTTTTTTTCTACTGGGCCTCCTCTAAGAGCCTCTGTTTTATATCTCAGGTCTATGCACAGTTTATTAATTTAGTTATTCTATAATTTATTTGTAAATATTGAAAATTGGCATTTTTCTCCCCAAATATAACAGTTGTCTTTTTTTTTAAAGTAAATTTCTATTTTATTTTATTTATTTTTTTGACAGGCAGAGTGGACAGTGAGAGAGAGAGAGAGAAAGGTCTTCCTTTGCTGTTGGTTCACCCTCCAATGGCCGCCGCGGCCAGCGCGCTGCGGCCAGCGCATCACGCTGATCCGAAGGCAGGAGCCAGGTGCTTATCCTGGTCTCCCATGGGGTGCAGGGCCCAAGCACTTGGGCCATCCTCCACTGCACTCCCTGGCCACAGCAGAGAGCTGGCCTGGAAGAGGGGCAACCGGGACAGAATCTGGTGCCCCGACTGGGACTAGAACCCGGTGTGCCGGCGCCACAGGTGGAGGATTAGCCTAGTGAGCCGCGGTGCCGGTCCAAACAGTTGTCTTTTAACAGTTTGGTTGGCCAGCAAGGAAGGATTTGCAGAGAGAAACAGAAAAAGAGGTGGAGGGAGATAGAGACAGAGGCAGACACAGGGACAGACACAGAGATATAGGGACAGGAAAGCAGACTGAGAGAGAACATAGATTGGGATGAGAATGTCCCGTTTCTGTCCTTTTTTTGTATTTATTTATTTATTTGAAAGGCAGAGTTACAGAGAGAGATGAAGAGACAGGGAGGGAGAGAGAGATCTTCCATCTGCTGGTTCATTCCCCAAATGGCCACAGCAACCGGAGCTGGGCCCATCAGAAGCCAGGAGCCCACATGGGTGCAGGGGCACAAGGACTTGGGCCATCCCCGACTGCTTTCCCAGGCACATTAGCAGGGAGCTGGATTGGAAGTGGAGCAGCCGGGACTCAAACCGGCACCCACATGGGATGCCCACACTGCGAGGGCAGCTTCATTTGCTATGCCTCAGCACTGGCCCCTCTGCCCTGCTTCCAAAATGAAGCAAGTTGAGTAATAAGGGGGTTGGCTCCCCACATTTGATCGGGGTGCCACGATCTGACGTCACATCCAGTGTCAATATCGCTGTCTCTACCCTGTACTGTCCCCTCCTGCCTTGGAGAAGGGGCCATCTCCGTAGGCTCCTGCCCAGCCCTTCAGAGCAACCAGGCAGAAAGAACTCCATCACCAGGGAGCAGGGGGCCGAGGGAGGAGGGGAGACAGTGAAGGCAGTCCTTCCCAGCAGGCGGGGCAGAAAACTCAGCCCTGAAGGTCACTGTGTTTATTTTCACTGGTCTCTGTCCAGACCAGCCCAGGGAAAATCGTAGAGCAAGTTCTTGCAGCCAAACTTAGTCAATTGAATAATAATAATAATAAAAACCTTCTATATCCAGAGAAGATATCTGCATTTACTTTGCTGGTATTAAATAGCCTTTTTGTAGTTCAACAATGATGGCTTATGGGTGGTGTTTTTGTTACGACTGTGTTTATCAGTAGGCTACACTCAGATTTTATGTAGAAGTTTCCTGGTTCTAGGTAGCCTGAATAATTTGCACATTATATGAGGATGCTTTGAAAGGCTTATGGAAAATGGAAATTAAAAAATAGATTTGTTTGGGCACAAAAGATTTTTGAAGTCCATGCATATGAAGGGTATTCCACAAGTTCATGGAAATGCCTATTATGAAAAATCTATGCTTGGTTTTCAATCTTTCAATCTTTGTTCCCAAAAAACTTGCCTTTCAATTCCATCTTCCCTCATGTTACTATTTCTCTCCAGGTCAGGGACCCCTGTCTGTTTCTAACCCTGCAAGGGGAAGTTCGCAAGGACCCCCGCCTTGCCACAGGCTAACCCAACTGCAGAACTGCTGGGGGCACATTGCAAGCCAAGTGGAGAGAGCGAGGGCAGGTTGCAGAGTGCAATCAGGCCACCGAGCTCTCAGCACCAGGAAAGCTGGGCCCCGCCCAGCTGCAGCAGCTGCAGGGCGTCACGCCTGCCAGGGCCAGCTCAGGCTGAAGCCTCTGTCCGGTGGACACTCAGCAGAGGAGGGATTTTGCCCAACCATTGGATGAGACTTAGCCCCTCTATCTCTGCCAGCTTGTCAAGGGTGACCGGCGTGCTGTTTAGCCCTGTCACTCTGTAGATTCAAATGGCTGTGGCCCTTTTTCTTTTCTATTTGTTTTCTTTATTTCACAGGCAGAAAGAGAGATCTTCCATATGCTGGTTCACTCCTTAAATACCTACAAGAACTGGCACTGGACCAGCCCAAAGTCAGAAGCCAGGAACTCAACCAGGTCTCCCAAGGGGATGGCAGACCCAACCACTTTAGCTATGTACTACTGTGTAGAAGCAAGAGGCTGGATTCAGAAGCAGAGCTTGGCCTTGAACCCAGGTGCTCTGATATGGGATACATTTGTCCCAGGCAGAGCCCTAACCACTGTGGCACATGTCCACCCTGGCTGTCTTCCTTCCTCATACTTAGAGTGTTATATTTAAAAGTGTCCCATGATGATTTTTCTTTTCTGTTCCTTTCTTTCTTATCCTCATATTTCCTTTGTGTCATTGTAACATGAAAGACTCACTGAAATGCAGACTTAGAAAGTGGAAGTCTTCTGTCATCAAGCTCATCCAAGGCACATTGCTTAAGACTCCCATAAGTGCATGTGCACCTGTTCTGTATGCCTGGTGCCCGTAGGCCAGGTACACCAGTACCACACTCACACACATATCCAGACCTGTCCCTTTCCCTCTGTCTCTAGTTCTAAGTAGTTGGTTGAAATGCTAGTGTAATACGATGCTTGAAACCATAGATTCTTAATTTGAAATGTAATCTAATTTGAAAAAAAAATAATGGCAAATATCATATATCTACATCAATAGTTCCTTGCAGGAACTTCTCTTAAGATTTATCTTCATGATGATTTTATGAATGGATATACAAATATCTAGATCATACTGTATCAAATATGTTGGTTTATGTTAACATTACTTTATTCTCCAAGATGGAATTTTTCTCAAATTTCCTCATTACCCCTCTATTTTTTTCTTTAAAAAGGAAGTGGTGAGTGTTTCTTACAAGTAATCTATAATCTTTTATATTTGTGTGATTTTTTTTTCTGTCACAGAAAGTATCGTCACCCCAAGGGTCAGGAAGACCAGTCACTTTTCATTGTAACCAATCCATACTGATTATTAATACTACACTGTGCGTGAGACTCCATTCCAGGCTGATCTGAAGCCATGAGCATAGCACCCATTTCCGTTGCTAGATGTCTTAACTAAAACCACTAACTTGAGAGTCTAGTACTGTTCTCCGGCTAAGTGCACATGTCCCTTACTGCCTCTGGCCTCTGTTTCCCTATAGGAAGAAATATCAAACAAGACAGCCTGGAAAACACCATTAACCCCCTCCACAAAACAGCAAACTCTAATTATAATCTGCTATTACTGGCAGTGTTAAAAGACCACCAAAAGCAATCCAGAAAAGTGGGCAGGCTCAGAGGGTTTTGGGAGTGAGAGCAGGATGACACCGGGGCAGAGCGAGTGCTTCCTTGCCCATCTTTGGAACTTTGCATGCTCACTGTGTAGGTGGGTGATGTCAAGAACATTGTTTTGAATCCTAATATACTCCTCCATTGTGCCAGAAAATGATCAAGAGTGACATCAGAACAGCGATGTCCTAGTTTGGCCATTGCTCAATGGAAAGAGAGGGACACGGCACGACTCCTTCCTGGGCCTCCTGCCCCAACTTTGATCTAGTGCAGAGTTTCTTAGAACAGAAAGGCATTTTTAAAAACAGAAAGAAAGAAAAAAGAGTTTCCTACATACCATGAGTGCTGAATATGTTCAATATAAAATAAAGAGTAGACTCCCTGTGTTTATACTTCATTGAACTTTCAGCCCCAATCAAATTTGGATGTTAAATACAAATAAACACTAGAAAGCCAGTTACATGCAAAGTAACATGAATTTACTTCAATGGGAAAATGTTGCTGAAAAATTTCCAGTGTTAGCATTTATCTACTAACATGGGTGTCTGCATCATTCAACCCTTCCACTAATTTCTTGCATCCAAGCAAAAACGTCCATTGCTTGTCATTATGTACAAATGTGTTATCTGTTTGCTTCGAGTGGGGCAAAGGTATCTAACCCGACTCTTCTCTAGTTCTTTAAAAGCCTGGCACTCGTAACGTTGGAAACTGACTCTGAACCCGATCACTGACGTTGCATGCAGAACTGATGACCCAGGGGTCATCTCAATGATCCTGCATAACCTTGGCTTAGTTTTTAAAGTTATCAGGGAAACACAAAATTGAAAAACGGATTCTGGAGACATTGCAAACCCTGTGGGACACACCTGACCAACCCTAGGTTTCCATGGGTTTCAGGTGCTGTTGAAGGCACTCTTAGATGCTCTCTAAGGAGCCACCCACGTCTCAGGAGTCCAGGAAGGGCCTCCATGATTACAAGCAACAACCCTTATTTTTGCCGGTAGCCTTTCCATGATGGAAATGCCCAGAAACCAGTTTGGCCAGTTTGGCCCTCCATCAATGAGCACAGCAGCCCTTAGTGGCCTGAATAACAGAAGAGACAGCTTCCAGCAGCCCACCCTGGAACAAGGCCCTTGGTCACGGTTCCATCTCTCCGAGAGGGGCTCAATGAGCTCTCTTCCCACTGTCTGGGTTTCTTGGGATGTTGTGAGGTCCAGGGGCTGATGCTGGAGAAGTGCAGAAGTGCATGGCCGCACCTGCCAGCCTACAGTGCCTGCTCAGCCATGGTTGCACGCGCACACACACACACACACACACCCGCCCCTCTCTCATTGGCGTGTTATTCTAGAACACTGCTGAGAGAGAAGTGGACGTCCTCTCTGCTCATGGAGAGGGACCAAGAGGGAGCCTGCAACAGAGACCTGGGGAGATCATCAGTCACCTTGAAACCCTGGGAGTCAGTAACATTTAGGAAATAGCTGCCCAGATGGGGTGAAACTTGTCCCAAAAGCTTTGAGAAAATACATAAAACAAAACAAAACAAAACTCAGTTTTCAGAGAAAACTCTTCTGCTTTCAACAATTAGGAGAATTAGTGGCTCCAATTGTTTAGAAGCTAAAATGCACGTGACTGTCAAAGCACCTTGTTAATGTCCTCCTGTCTTCTCTGCCCTGGTTCGGTGAGAAGGTGGGTAAGCACCTTTCATGGGGAGGCGTTGAGACTTCTAGGTAGAACCCAAATCATTTAAGCATCGTAAAGAATTAAATCCTTTCAAAGAACCTCCTTGTCTCATCCACCCAATGGGAATGTGTTTGCAACCAACCGTAGAGCGTCCACTCTGGTTTTCTTCCAGAACACCAGCAGCCTGTACCTGGTCAGCAATGCAGGTTTTGAGACTGTAGCTCAGCGATCTGTTTTCAGAAGCCATGCAGAGATTCTGATCCCAGCTCAAAGCTGAGGACCCCTGCTGTAGACAGCGCTAACAACAGTGGTTCTGGACTTTTGCTCCCATGAAATCCTCTGGGAGCTTTTTAAAATTCCTTATGTCCAGGCCTCATGTCCAGACCAGTTAACTGAGATTATCTGAGTACTGGGACTCAGATGTCAGAGTTTTAAGTTATATTTTTAATGATTTATTTATTATTTATTTGAAAGGCAGAGAGATAGAGACATTTTCCATGTACTGGTTTACCCTTCAAATGCCTGCAACACCTGGGATTGAGCCAGGCTGGAGCAAGAAGCTTGGAATTCAATCAAGTTTTCCCACATGGGTGGTAGGGTCCCAAGTACTGGGGCCGTCTCTGCTGCTTCCCCTGGTGTGCACTAGCAGGAAGCTGGATAGGATGTAGCTGGGTAAGCTGATAAGGATGTAGGCAGGCGACATCTGACTGCCATTCCCAAGGCCCACCCCTAGGTGTCTGTGTTTAGAAAGCTCCTTGGCGGATACAGCATTGCAGGGCTGGGTAGCTGTCCTTCTAGCTACTCTAAGTGTGGCATGGGCATCCTGGGGGCAGGCTGAAAACGCAGGCCTCAGGACCCGCCCAGATGTGCCGAGTCAGGGGCTGCGCAGCAGGATGTCCCGCAGGACCCTGTCTGGTGTGGGGAGCAACTGGGAGCAACTCGGACTAGACTAAGTTACTGGAATTAAGACTTATTCTATACATCTGCTCTCCCACAATATGGCGCTGGGAGAGGAGGAAACAGCTTCTACACAGCTGCCTCCAGTTCAACCAATAAACAGCAGGACCTGCTCCTGATTGGAGGAGAGCAGCATACTCGGCGTGTGGGTAGCAGAGTTGGGACTGGTGGAAGAGGACTATAAAGGAGGAGAGAGACAACATGCACCAGGAACATCTATCTGAAGGAACACCTGTGCAGCCCCTGAGAGAGCCAGCCGGCGGTGTGCCGCTCCCCCGCAGAAGTGGGGAAAGTGGCAGGGGAACCGCCCTTCCACGGAGGTGGAAGGGACAGTAGCCAACCCGGGAAGAACCAGCAGCAAACCCGGGGAGGGCCGAGCAGACAAAAGAACAGCGCAGGGTCCTGTGTCGTTCCTCCACGAAGACGGGGAGCGACATAATGGTGCCGTGACTCGGATAGGAAACCTAGGCAGGGTCTAGTGTCGCTCCTCCACGAAGAGGGGGAGCGACAGTCTGGGCTCTGTTTGAGAAAGCTATTCTGTAGGCAGGGCTGATTTGTCAGCCCTGTCAGTGATGGGGTGGGGGTGCTTACCAGCCTGTGCTTTGTGCACTGTTTCTGGGTAGGTTGTCTCTCCCTGCCATGAGTCACGCGACCTCTCGTTTTGCTTCCACAGGACACAACAGACTATGTCGCCTATGTAGCAAAGGACCCTGTTAACCGCAGAGGTAAGCCACAGTTGGCCCCTTTGATTTCTCATTTGTGCACAGCCGGGCTGGAGACTGTCGACCAGATGTCCCTCATTATCTCAGCCTCCTCCACCAACACGAGCACATGTCACATTGTGCAGTGGTGGACCCTGGGGACTGGCAAGGGCAGCAGGTCACTTGGCTCCGTTAGGAGATGCTGCACATCGAACCACACCCGTGTCCAGAGGACCACAGCTTTCTACCCCTGGCTTACTCATGAGCAGGTCCTGGTCAGTCTCTGAAAATGGCCTTGGCTATACCTGGAAGAATCAATATCTGCCTGTCCTCCTGCCCGCTCCAGCACCTTGTGTGAGCCTACGGCCAGCAGTCACCAGAGCCATCCCACACTTCCCTGCCGTCCCCTAGTGCCCATGGTCCAAGCTCAAGGTGTTCTCTCCTTAAGCCCCTTTAAGTTTCCAGGGCATCAAACACAGGCTGGATGGAGAATCATTGGCAAAAATCAGTCTATTGGATGGTAACACACCTGGGGTTGGGGGGCTGACCACAGGTAAAGCACCTGGGATGTCAGACACTTCCACTGCCTCCCCAGGTGCATTAGCATAGAGCTGGGTCAGAGATGGGGCAGCCAGCACTCGAAGCAGCACTCGTATGGGATGCAGGCATAGCAGGTCACAGCTTAACCTACCACACCGCAACACCAGCCCCAACGACCCTATTTCTAAATAAGGTCACAAATGAAGTCCTGGGAATTAGGTCTCTAATGTATTTGGAGGAGGCAATTCTGCCCCTGACATAGGCCAAATCTTTTAATGGTCCAAGGGTCCCACCACGTTGGGAAAAGCTGGGGAAGGGAGGGGGCGGGGGCGGGTGCAGCCATCCTGGGGTCAGCCAAGGATTGTCAGTCACTGACGTTCTTTTTCTATCATAGTTCATTTCAAATTAGCTTCAAGAATTCTGAGTTTGTTTGTTTTTTTAATATACTTTCATAGCTCCTAGTCAGTGGTTCTCAAAATGAGCGGCATCTCAGAATCACAGTCTCAATGCGCAGGCTCCTGAGAGCAGGGGCCCAGGCAGCAGCATTTATGAGAGTCCCTCAGGTGATTCCAAGCCTGGAAAATGTGGCTTAGCTCTGGGCGCTGCACTGTAGACTTGAGTCATTTGACTTGGGGCCATCTAAAAGTATAGGTTACAGGAGCAAACCAAGACAATGCGCTGCCTGCAGTCCCAGGGGGACAGTCATAATGTTCAGGACCCCCTGCACAGGGCCTGAGCCTCAGGCTCCCCTGAGATCTTGATTAACAATGAGTTGTGGTTGCAAGGCAGGGCCAGCCGAAGGCCTAGACGGTGCGCTTGGTGCTTGTAGAGGTGAAACTCCCAGCAAATCGGGTTTGGCTGGACCTGCTCCTACCATTTTCTTTACACTTTGGAACTTTAATTACTACCCAGGAATTCTCATCCCCTGCAACCTTATAGATATATATATATAATTATATATCTATAATATATAGATATATATTATATATCTATATATTATATCTATATCTATATCTATATATTATATATAGATATATATTATAGATATATAATTATATTTTATAATATCACAACTTATAATACATGATATTACATTACATGTATATATGTATTAAATTATGTATATAATACATATACATTATATGTATATATGTATTAAATTATATATTATATATCATGTATTATATGTTTATGTTTATATGTTATGTTTATAATATATATTATAATCTATATAATATATTATATAGGTATGTATTACATATAATATGATTACATAATATATAATTATATATTGTATATAATTATAAAATTATTATAAATAATATAATTATTATGTGACATATACTAATAATTATATATTATGTAATATATTACAATATTATATATAATATATATTACATAATTCTGTGCTTTCGATTTTAATTTAGTATTTTATTTATCTGAAAGGTAGAGAGAGAGTGAGAGAAAGATAGAGACGGATCTTCCATCCATTGGTTCACTCTCCAAATGTCTGCCGCAGTCAGAACTGGGCCAGGCTGGAGCTGGGAGCCGGGAGCTCCTCAGGGCTCCCACAGGAGTGGTAGGGACCAAGCACTGGAGCCATCACTGTGGCCTCCCAGGGTGCACATCACTGGGAAGCTGTAATTGGCAGAGGCCCCGGCACTCCGATACAGGATGTAGGTGTGCCTACAGCTACACCAAATGCCTGTCCCGTTAGGCAGTTCTGAATGGACTGACTCACAAGAGCAGGTACAAAATCACCCTCACGCTAGCCATGCAGCTGCATGCAAAAGGCATGTCATTTTTGTGTGGTTTACAAGCTCCAGCATCCCTGATCAGGTGCTTTTTGGTGCTTGTTGGACTGAGACGCTGAAGGTCCTATCCTACACAGCGGTGATGCTGATAACATGCAGGCAGAAAAGCCAAGGCATTCGGCTGGAATGGTGCCTAAGGAGTTTACTGCACTTGCCCAAGGTTTTCTGAAGAATAGGAGGTTCATGAATGGGCTTGAACAGGCCCAGGAAACACCTTCTTCTCAGCCTTTCCGCATGGGCTCCAGCTTTCCCATGCATGCCTCCTCCCCGCTCTTGGCTGCCCTTGGGTGTCCCAGTGTCCCCTTCCGGAGCACCTACCCCCAGTCATCCGGTCTGACCACCTGCACTGTGGTCTTGCTTCAGCTCCTCTATTGCCCATTGTCTTCATGGTGGAGTTAGTGGCCTAGGGATCACCACAAATGGACGCTTAAAACAACAGAAAGGAAAGGTAGGCACTGTGGTGCAGTGTGTCAAGACACAGCCGGCATCCCATATGGGTGCCGGTTCAAGTCCTGGCCGCTCCACTTCCCATCCAGCTCCCTGGGAAAGCAGCAGAAGACGGCCCAAGTCCTTGCACCCAGGTATGAGACCCAGGCTTCCTGACTTTGGCCTGGCCCAGCTTCACCCACTGTGACCATTTGAGGAGTGAACCACTGGATGGAAGACCTCTCTCTCTCTCTCTGTAACTCTCTCTCTCTGTAACTCTGCCTTTCCAATAAATAAATAAAATCTTTTTTTAAAAATGCAACAGAAAACAGAGAGCAGTTCTCTCATTGTTTGGAGGCTGAGCGGCTGCCACCTGGCACAGCAGAGGCCCTGGGGGAGGCTCCTTCCTTGCTCGGTTCAGCTTCTTCTGCTGCCGGCATTCTTTGGCACGCAGCTGCACGCTCCAGCCTCTGCCTCCATCTCTGTACCACCTCTTCTTCTGCACCTGTGTCTCTGTCTCTTATACGGACACTTGTCATTGGATTTAGGACCACCCTAATCCAGGATCAGATTTGGCTAACTCGTCCAAAATTGGGGGTGGGATGAGGTCTCCATTTCTCTGGTTAGAAATCATTAGTGTTTTTTAAAAAATATTTATTTGTTTATTTTCATTGTGTTTGAAAGGCAAAGACAACCAACCAGCCAAAGATTCTCCCATATGCTTGTTCACTCCCCAGCTGCCACGGCCCCCTGGGCTGAGCCAGGCTGAAGCCAAGAGCCTGGAACAGGTGCCTTTTGGTGCTTTTGGCCGAGAGCCTGGAACTCAATCTAGGTCTGCCACGTGGGTGCACCCATGTGCAGCCATCACTGCTGCCTCCTAGGGTGTGCACAAACAGGAAGCTGGATCAGAAGAGACGGCAGGATTCACACCGAGCACTCTCCTATGGCCCGTGGGCATCTTAACTGCTGGGCCAAACACCCGACCCCGGAAGTTGTTCGTTTTTCACGTCCCTTCTGTTAGGGGGAGGTTGCTGGCTCACTGGGATGGACGGACAGCAGCCACTGGTTACTGGGGTTCTGCCCAAGTTGTGTGAAGCCAGCAGCTGGCAGAGAACGAGGCTGTGAAGTTGAGTTCTGGGAGCGTCCGTGGGTCTCCATCAGAGGCCCGTGGAGAACATGGCAGGCTCCCGGGGAGCGGGGCTGCCGTGGGGAGGCGGGGGCACCTCTGCACCTGAGCTCAGGGGAGGCGGCTCTCCCTGGGGCTGTGCAGCTTCTCTCACACTGAGGGCTGCGTTTCCGGTGTGGTGCAGAAAATGCACAGTGGCTGGGGCAGATATTGCTGGCCCCGAGTCTGGGTGCAGGGCGTGGGAATGGGCTCTCGGGAACCCGGCTTGCTGAGGAACTGGAGGTAGGTGGCTTTAGGAGCTACTTCTTGCAGCTAGGTTTTTCCATTTAAAACCTAGTGAAATGGTAAATTGGTAGACAACATTGTGTGCATCTTTTGTGTACAGCGTGATGTTGTGAAGTGTGTGCACGCACACGCACATGCACGACACAGTAAAGTGGTTGACTCTGGCTAATTAACACATGCATCATCTCCCATAGTTAGCACACATGCACACCCATTCTGGTCACATTTTTAGGACTACAATGCATGAGCATTAGCTAGAGTCACTGCATTGTACCGCAGATCCCACTGGGTGTCCTTTCGCTAACATCTCCCTCTCCCTCCCCACCCCTCGCTCCTCACCCCGGAAACCACCATTCTACTCTCCTCTTCCATGAGATGGACCTCCTTAGACTGGGTCTGCAGCTTCCATGCAAGCCCTACCTAAACACCAACATTCTTCTAGAAATAGGAAAAAGCACACCCAAATGTATATAGAATCAGAAACAAACAAAAAAAACCTTAGTAGTCAAAGCAAGCTCGAACAAACAGAACAAAGCAAGAAGCATTATACTAGCTGACTTTGAAATATATTACAAAGCTATAGACATTAAAACGGCAAAAGTACTGACATAAAAACAGACACATTGACCAATGGAAGACGATAGAGGCCCTAGAAATAAATCTATGTGCTGTTAGCCTACTGGTTTTCAACAAAGGCAACTCAAGCCTACAGAAAATAAATGGATGACTGATAAATACCATTTGCTTCACAAGTTGTATTTCAAGGTAAAAATAATGATAGTGCAATCAGATGAGGCCAACTGGGTCCTCCAGAAAGGGGTGCAAGGCCCTTCCGTGCGAGCGTCTGCCTGTGGCTCTTCCAAGTTCAAAATGACTCAGAAAAGTATTTCAAAGACAGAAATGTAGATTTCTGTCTAGTGCCATGAATAACTCCCAAAGTACAAGGCTGCTTTAAACAGTTCATGGAGAAGGCATATTGTGGACAAAATGCACATGGATTTCTAAGTTTTTGAGCCCCAAAATAAGCTGCTTTTAGTTACGTTTCTTCATTCACTTTCTGAAGAGCTCTCGTGTTTGTTGTGCTCTGAGATACTGTGTAATGCTTTCAGGGCTAGTAAGACATCTGTTGTTGATTTTACCTTACTTTTTATAAAGATTTATTTCTTTTATTTGAAAGGCAGAGTTACGGGGTGTGGGTGTGGAAGAGAGAGAGGGAGAGAGAGAGAGAGAGAGAGAGAGAGAGAGGAGTTTTTCCATCTACTGGTTCACTCCCTCAATGTCCACAAGGCTGGGCCAAGCTGAAGCCAGGAGCCATGAACTCCATCTGGGTCTCCCACATAGGTGGCAAGGACTCAAGTACTTGGCCCATTAACAGGGAGCTGGATTGGAGTCGGAGCAGTGGGGGCTTGAACCTGCACTCCTAGGGGATGCTGGCATCACAGATGGCAGCTTAACCCACTGTGCCACAATGCTGGTCCCTGACTTATCTTTTAAAATGTACACATAACACATTAATACAGGAATAAATTAATAACTTTTAAATAAATAGTCACATATTTAGGATGAGCTCAAAAAATTCTTCGCCGGGAGTCATACATGGGACTTCAGACACAGAAGAATGAAGATATTTGGGGAGGGGTTCTAGTGGCTTGGAGGGCATGGCTAACACAGCAGTCCCACTTGCCCGTGGGAAATGTGTTCCAAGACCCCCAGTAGATGCCTGAAGCCACTGAGAGCACGGAGCCCTGTCTATGTTGACTAAGCACTGATCACACACTGTGGCAGGGACTTTTGCATCCTACATGGGACAGCAAAACTAGCACAAATTTATTTTTCCTTCCTCACCATAATGTCAGTAGAAGACTTGTTCTTACCATAGATCTCCAGAACCTCAATGTACAGACTTTCCTCTTTCCCCATTAACTAAAGAACTATTGCCATTTCACCTCTGACTTGGAGAAGCACTGTGATCCCGTGACAGTCGTCTGCTAAGGCACACGGCTGCTCAGTGACTAGCGGGCGGGTAGCGTATACAGCAGGGATACACTGGACAGAAGGATGATGTATGTTCCAGGAGGGATGGAGCAGAAAGCTGTGATGCTACACTACTCTGCAAGGCATGCCATGTAAAATTTATGTGAGTCATTTATTTCTAGAATTTTCCATTTCATATTTTTGGACTGTGGGTGACTGTGAGTACCAGATTATGGTTCGTGAGCCGGTTTTTCTCCCGCTCCCCTCTCCTGCACCTGCAGCCTCTCCTGTCCAGGAGGAGCTCGGTGGAAGGAGCATTCAGTCCTGGCGCAGGGCCCTGCTGCCCCTTCCAGCTTGTGGACGAGGCTTTATTGTTGAGACCCTGGATCCAAAGGTCGGAGCGGCCTGGATCAATCACGCAGCCCTGGAGCCCTGGCTGTCCTGGAGAGCTGCTGGAATGAACTGGTTGTTGGAACAGTTTGTTCCTGCAGCACGACTGGCCTGTGCTAACTGAGTAGGAGCCACAGGCAGATGCTCACATGGCTGGGCCTTGCGCCACTTCCCGCAGGGTCCAGTTGGCCTGCAGTCCCCTGAGTGGCCAGCCAGCCAGTGGTGCAGCCACTGCCCTCTGCTTACTGGGAGGGACAGGGAGCTGCGAGCTGATGTTCTAAGAGGCTGGGGTGTAGCTGGGCACCGCCTCTCGTCCACCTCTGTTCAAGGTTCTCCAGTGAGTGGAAGACTTGTGGGTTGAGCAGGAGGCCACCCTGCGGAGGAACTACATATATCTGTGATCCGTCTGGTACGATGACAAGGGCCATAGTGAATCCGTGTGTTAGTTGGTTGCTCTCCGGGGGCCATGTCTTGGAGTAGCCTTTCTGGTGGCCACAAAGTCCCCTCACTAACATCAGGGCCGAGCTGGATGCTGTGGGGCAGCCTTGAGCTAGCTCTCCTGGAATGAACTCAGTGTTTCTTATCGGTCTGGGGTGAGCAAGTGAGAGACGAGCATTGACACGTGAGTCCCACCCTGGGTGGCTGACACTGCTGCAGGCCGCTGGCATCACTGAAAGGGCCGGTGTCCCCGTGGGAGACTGGGGAATGACTCCACTTCCCTGCTGGTTTTCTGCTTTGAGCCACATTTCAGATTTTGCATCTAGCCAAACTGGACTCGGGGCACCCACACTCTGTTTCCCTTTCTCACCTCTTTCTTCTCTGTTGCTTGGGAGTGTGCCAGGTGCAGTCCTACACCTGGGGGTGGTGACTTAATTCCTGCCAGTCCATGCGTCCACTCACTACCCACAGCTCTGCCACTGAGAGCCACGGGGCTCTGCCCTCACCCCACAGTTGGGTTCCACTAGAGCCTCCTCCTGCTCCAATGTCCTGGAGCTCACTTATGGGGCGCCCTCTGCAGGCTCCGAGTTATCTGGTTTAGAAGGTTAAGGGTGTGTGGCTGAGATCATCCAGCCCCCTCTGAAGAAACCGTACTCTCCGTTCTCCACTTCAAAGATTTCCCCTTAAAAGAAAGTAGGCTATGTGTCTTGACCCTGTTCTAGTCTGTCTGTCTTGTTCTCTGAAGCACTGAGCAGCCACTCCTCTTAGCTGGTGCTAATGCTGGGTGGCAGGACTGGCACAGGGCCGACTGGAAACCAGCAGGCAGGTCAGGGGCATGAGGTGTCTATTGGCTTTTCTTTTCTCAAGTCTGGCCCCCTATTTCCTTACTAAGTCAACAGATGTTTTAATTATATCAGTCAACAACATGTGCAACTGTAGCAATGGCTTCATAGGGGCTTGCTTTGTGAATACCCAGGGCAATATTTAACATATAATAATATCCATAATAAAATAATACATTAGTGATCAATAACAAGGAGGTAACCAGGACACCTGTGCCTTTGTAGAATTTCTAAGCCACACTTAAAACAAGACTGCTGCATTCAAGGGGTGACATCTGACCTGAAGCCACAGTGCATCCACGCTTGCTCTTCCCAGCAAATCCTTTCCCCTGTGTGCTTCCCACAGAGGTGCTCCCAAGGCAGTGCTGGGGCCAGGGAACCATGACCCCTCCTCACTGTGGGGACCCAGGGCTCCTGGAGGGACTGTCTCTGAAAGACCTGTCCATCAGGACTGATGGTGAGACAGAGGCAGAGGGCCCCTGCATCTGGCTATGCTGACTCAAGTAGACTGATATTTGTTGTCAGAAAAGAAAAAGCTGGCCCATTTTGGGGGTCTGTCCACGGCCTTGCAGCTTCAGTTGATGACGTGGCGTTTAGCAGGAGTGGCCCCCTTCTGACTGGGCATGGCTGGATCTGCACGGGTGCTGTGTAGGAGCTGGTCCACACCGACTAACTCACTGCGCCCAAGCAGCGGCTCACAGGCCCCTCTGCAGGGTCAGCTGGTGGTGGTGGAGGGGGCCCTGGCCCTCTTCTGCTCGGGGGATGCCCATGTATCTGGGGCCTGGAAGAACTTTCCAGCACCCTGGAGAAGTACTACTTTCTGAGGCCAGGGCAGGGAGGGCCCCACTCTGCTTGCCCCATTCATCCCTCTTTTCCCTGGAGGTCCTACCTGGATTCACAGCCTGCCCTTGTGTGTTGGCTGGCACCTGCTATCCAGCAGGAAGACTGCTCGAGGCCTCTCCACTGGCCTTGATGTGACCTGCCCCCGACCCCCGCTTCTTCACACATATCTACTCTTTTGCACAAACTGGCTTTTTAAGAATCTGCAGTGAACATGCAGCCTCAAGTTTAGGCTGATGCACTTGGCAGGCAATGGGGACGGTCATGCTGATTAACTAAGACCCTAAGAAGGTTGCACTTACTGTTTTGAGTGGCCACACTTGATGGTCAGTGCTTTGCTCCCACTGAGAAGTAAGGGGACAACTTGCTCTGAGTCCATTGGGTAGATCAAGACTCATTCACCAAATACCAGTGTAAGTTCCTTGTTTAAGGTTCACGGGGACTGCAGGGGATTCAGTCTGTGGAGATCAGAACCCTGTCCTGTTGGGGTCTGCTTCTAAACACGGCTCCCCGTGGAGAGCAGAATTGCTGTTTTATAGACCCTAAGGAAGTTGAAGAGGCATCCACTTGGGCTTGGAAAGCCTTTAGAAACAGGGATCTATAGTGAGTAGACAACAGGCTACTAAGAAGCGCCTGCTCGCCACGGGGCATTGCAGCTGTGGAGGTGCAGCTGCAGCTAGATTGGCTCATGAAGTTTCCCCTTTGCCCCTCCGTCCTCAGGAAGGGCCCTTTGTAGAGGGGCTAGGAGAGCACCAGTGTCCATCCCTAACCAACCTGTGTCCCCTTCCCTCCCAGCTTGTCACATCCTGGAATGCTGTGATGGGCTGGCCCAGGATGTCATCGGCTCCATCGGGCAGGCCTTCGAGCTCCGGTTTAAACAATACTTGCAGTGCCCTTCCAAGATTCCTGTCCTCCAGGACCGGTGAGTAGCCCTGCGGCACTGCTGGCCTCGGCCCCTCTGTGTGTTATGAGCTCTGCTCTGAAAACCGTCTCCCCCAGGCTGGGCTCTGGACGGGCCCCATGCATCCCCGGGCTTCCTGGGCTTGCAAACCCCTGATCAGTGCTGGGCTGTGACCCAGGAAGCCAGCAGATGGAAGCCAACATATGGATGATGCTTGGAATGTGCAGAAAAACATTTCCTGGAAACTATAGTGACGGTAGCCAAGGTTACAAAAGAGTGACTTCATTTAATTTTTTTTTCATTCAGTTTTCTCTGCAACCACGTGATGCTTCCATATGTCACCTCCCTGGGTCTGTGTCACCACAGGTTCTATGCATCCTGTTGTTCTTATGCTGTGGCAGGGGGCTCCTGCTGGCCACCAGCCTGTTTCTGCTCTACTGGGCTCTGTATCTGAACAGCTCTGTAGCTCATTTCCCTTCTGTGTGGTCCTGGGAATGCCCTTACCCTCTCTGAGCCTCAGCAATGTTGTCAATAAAACAGGAATGTAGTGATGTGGATGATTATTTAGTGTGTTATAAAACACGTTCAACATCTACCATGCAGAATCCTTAGGGTGTAAAAAAATTACATGCAGCATAAAGCATTTTACAAAAGTCATATGGACTATGTTGGTCGAGTTTACATAGTGAAAATCTATGATAGCAGTGTGTTCGCTATAAACAAAACTTCACTTTCTACATTGGCTTTTTACTTTTTAAAAAAGATTTTTTTATGTATTTATTTGAAAGGCAGAGTTACAGAGGAAGATGGGGAGGAGAGGGAGAGAGAGAGAGAGAGAAATCTTCCATCCGCTGGCATACTACCCAAATGACCAAAATGGCTGGAGTTGGGCCAGTCCGAAGCCAGGAGCTGGGAGCTTCTTCTGAGTCTCCCATGTGGGTGTAGGAACTCACAGACTTGGGCTATCTGCCTCTGGTTTCCCAGGCACATTAGCAGGGAGCTGGATCAGAAGTGGAGTGGCCAGGAATCAAACTGGCGCCCATAAGGGATGCCAGTGTTGCAAGCAGAGGCTTTACCTGCTATGCTACAATGCCAGCCCCAACTTTTTACTGTTTTCAAACTGCTAAGGCCGTGTTCTGTGTCATGGTCACAGTCAGTGTCCACCTGGATCTTCATCATCATGAAGGCATTGTTCACCTCCCTTCTCCATCTTCAGTTTTCTTGAAAGGGAATTAACTTCCACATCCCCTGAAAAATTTGCTTTAAGAAACTAATTTTGGGGCCCAGTGCTGTGGCATAGTGCGTGAAGCCACCACCTGCAGTACTGGCATCTCATATGGGAGCTGTTTCAAGTCCCAGCTGCTCCACTTCTGATCCAGCTCTCTGCTGTGGCCTGGGAAAGCAGTAGAAGATGGCCCAAGTCTTGCAGCCATGTGGGAGACCTGGAGGAAGTTCTTGGCTCCTGGCTTCAGCTCAGTCATTTTGCTGTTTTTGCTATGTATCCATCTGAAGTGAGTTTGATAACTGGTATTTCCTCAAAGAAAAAGAAGCATGGAATATAGCAAAAATGTTATCATTTTGAAAAACTAACAGCAACTCAGCATTTTTTAAAAAAGGATTATTTATTTAATTATTTGCTAACATACTTAAGAGGTAGAGAGACAGGGAAAACACAAAGAGAACTCCCATCTGCTTGTTCACTCCCCAAATGCGTGCAATGACTGGGCTAAAGCCAGGAGTTGTGAACTCAGCCCAGGTCCCCCATGTGAGTGGCAGGGAACCAACCGCTTCAGCATCACCACTGCCCCCAAGGGTCCACATTAGCAGAAAGATGGAATCAAGAGCCAGAGATGGGATTTGAACCCAGGTACTCTGATGCGGGATACAGGTGTCCCAACCAGTATCTTAATCACAAGCCAAACATTTTCCCTAACATTGTTTAGTCTCAGAAGTGAATGACTAGGTAAATTATTATGCTTTTCTGTGTTTTTTAAATGTCTGCATAAGCATCAAAGACATACTCTTAGAATAACATAGGCACTGGGTGTTGTGGCACAGCAGGTTAAGCTGCTGCTTGCAATGCCAGTGGGAGTCCTGGCTGCTCCGCTTCCAATCCAGCTCCCAGCTAATGTACCTGGGAAAGCAGCACAAGAATCCCCCTACCCCATGTGGGAGAACCGGATGTAGTTCTAGGCTCCTGGCTTTGGGCCAGGATCACTGGCTGTTGCAGTCATTCGGGGAGTGAAACAGAGAATGGAAGATTCTCCCTCTCTGTCACTCTGCCTTTCAAATAAATAAAATAAATCTTACAATAAAATAAAAGAATAGGTACACAAATAGTGGGAGCAGTTGATTTCACAACCATATCTTCTGACGATAGACTTAGGCATGAAGTCTTGTGCATGATTTCATCCAATAATATTTTGAAGGACTTCCAGGAAAGAAAAGGAAGCAGACAGGACCTTACCCATGAAAACAACTTCGGCTACAAATGCAGGTGTTAGAGAACAATTTCTAGAACAAAAGGAACCAAGGTCCTTCCTGCCTGTCAACTCACCCTGCAGGTGCCTGCCGGCTGGTCCTCTTGTCTGTTTGATAGCATCTGAGATACCCATTGCACAGGTCTTAGACAGAGGGAGGAGGGCCCTCTGGGGTTTACTCCGCCTTCTTTTTCAGGCACACCCCTCCCACTGGAGGCAGCCTGGGGCCGTGAGAGAACCCACCTGCCTTCAGCTGTCAGTGCTGTCACCCACTCCAGGACCCACGTTCCTGGGCTGTGGGCACACGTGACACTGGCAGGGTCTCCTTCTAAGGCATTAAAGTTCTAGGGGGTATCCAAGACAGGGGCTTCTGTTTGGATTTTTTCTGCTCGCTCTCCAAGCCCTGAAATATTTGGCGGAGGTGGGAAAGTTTGCTACATCAGCTTCTTTGCCTGTGTTGTTTGGGATGGAGACATGGACAGGGGATAGGGGAGGCTGGAGAGAGTGTGGCAATGTTAGTGGCTGGCAAGCTGTGAAGGATCCTCCCTGCTCCCTGTGTGTGGAGTGAGTTCTCTTTTCCCTTTTCTTGTCCCGCCGAGTGTATGGATTTGCTTACTTGTGAATTACTGTTTGTCCATTCTGTTGATTCTCAAAGGAGACGCTCTATCATCTAGATTCCTCACCCATCTTTAACTGGATATCCGAAATAGTACTTAGAAGTGTATAGGTTTTTAGTTATGGTCTGATTTTTTTTTCTTACAGAAATACAAAGACATTTCAATAATAGCCAGAGAAACAATGAAAAATAAATCATCTGTAGCTAAAGCTCCATTTACTATTTTTTTATTTTTATTTTTTATTTTATTTATTTATTTATTTTTTGACAGGCAGAGCGGACAGGCAGAGAGAGACAGAGAGAAAGGTCTTCCTTTGCCGTTGGTTCACCCTCCAATGGCCGCTGCGGCCGGCGCACCGCGCTGATCCGATGGCAGGAGCCAGGTGCTTCTCCTGGTCTCCCATGGGGTGCAGGGCCCAAGCACTTGGCTATCCTCCACTGCACTCCCTGGCCACAGCAGAGAGCTGGCCTGGAAGAGGGGCATCCGGGACAGAATCCGGCGCCCCGACCAGGACTAGAGCCTGGTGTGCCGGCACCGCTAGGCGGAGGATTAGCCTAGTGAGCCGCGGCGCCGGCCTCCATTTACTATTTTAAAAGATGATGTGTAATTCATGGGTGATAAAATCCACCCTTTTCAAGTCAACAGTCCAGTAGATTTTGCATTTTCAAAGGCTGCACTATCATCACCATTAATTCAAGAATATTTTCATAACCCTAAAAAGAAGCTCGTACCCTTAGGCAGTCACTCCGTATTCTCCACCCTCTTCTTTCCAGGAAACCAATAATCTTGGTCTCTTGTAGATTTGCCGATTTCAGACATTTCTTTTTTTTTTTTTTTAAGATTTATTTTATTTACTTGAAAGTCAGAGTTACACAGAGAGAGAAGGAGAGGCAGAAAGAGAGAGAGGTCTTCCATCTGCTGGTTCACTCCCCAGTTGGCCACGACAGCCGGAGCTGTGCTGATCCGAAGCCAGGAGCCAGGAGTTTCCTCCAGGTCTCCCACATGGGTACAGGGGCCCAAGGACTTGGGCCATCTTATGCTTTCCCAGGCCATAGCAGAGAGCTGGATCGGAAGTGGAGCAGCCGGGGCTTGAACCAGTGCTCATATGGGATACTGGCACTGCAGGCAGCAGCCTTACCTGCTGTGCCACAGCACGGGCCTCACACATTTCATATAATTGCACTATGTGTTGGACTTCTTGACTTTGAAGAATGTCTTCAGGATTCACCCTTGTTATAGCATCTGACAGTATTTCAGCTTTTGAGGGCTCAAGCAATATCCTTTCGCACAGATACATCACCTTTCTTCATCATCTCATCAGTTCATGGACATTTCAGTTGTTACCACCTTTTAGCTCATAGGAAGAATGCTACTATGAAGATGCACACATGCAAGTTTTTGTGCAAACGTGTTTCTGTATTCTTGTGTGTATACGTCAGAGTGGAACTGTTGGGTCAGGTGAGTATGCTGTGCTAAGTTTTATGAAAAATTGCCCAGCTCTTCTGCAAAGTGGCTCCACCATCTTACATTCCCATTCAGGTTAGAATACATGCAGCATCCTCACCAACACTTATTGGCTATCGTTTTGATTATAGCTACCCTAGAGGGAATAAAGTTGTCGCCAACTCTGATTGGCATTTCCTGAACCTTCATTCTGTCAAGCCTCTTTTCGTATGCTTATTGGTCATTGTGTGTTCTCTGTGGAGGAAGGTCTGCTCAGATCCTTGGCCAGTTTTAAAGACTGGGTTATCTGTGTTTTTATTGTTGGTATGTAGGAGTTCTTTAAACATTCTGGACAGATGTCTCCTTTTGGATATACGATTAGCAAATACTTTTTCCCATTTTGTGAGTTGGCATTTTTACTTTACTCACGCAGTGCTTTGAAGCATAGCAGTTTCCAATTTGGATGAAATCCAGTTTACTT